TGCTGAAGCAGACAAGCTCTTTCGCTCTGTCCTCTTTCCCATCCCCTCTCTCAGCAGTGAATGGAGCACCAGAGGATTTGAGCTCCGTAACTACCCAGTCCTAGGAAGTTTCCCATCTCCTTTCATTAGTGGGCAGTTACGGAGCTCAAATCTTCTGGTGCTCCATTCACTGCTGAGAGAGGGGATGGGAAAGAGGACAGAGCGAAAGAGCTTGTCTGCTTCAGCAGACAGCTCTTTCGTTCCGTCTGCTTAACAACCTGGGAGATTGCTTAACAACCACAACTGGGAGTGCCCAAATTGCAGTCGTTGAGCGAAGCAGTCACATGGGCACCTCGCTTAACAACTGCTTTGCTCAGTGACCGAGATTCCAGTCCCAATTGTGGTTGTTAGGCAAGGACTATCTGTATGAGGATAAGCCTTTTAAAAGCTACCCGTGCATTGTCACAAATTGCAATTTGTTTGTGAATCAGCAGAGAGCCAATTTGGTGTAGTGGTTAAAGGCACTGAGCTAGAAACCACAAGAGTGTGAGTTCCAGTCCTGTTTTAGACATGAAGCCAGTTGGGTAACTTTGGGCCAATCACTCCTAGCCCTAGGAAGAAGGTGGTAGTAAACCACTTCCAAAAATATTGCTGAGAAAACTGCAAGGGACTTCTCCATGTAATTTCCAGGAGCCAAGGCATTAAAAAAAATGTGGATCAGTAGATCTGAAACTCTGAGGAGGTAATTGCTGATCATGCAAAATGTTTATACAGTGTGATCAGGAAGATCCAGGAAGTACAGAGCTGGAGAATCACCACCAGTGATCCTCTCCCTGCTAGGAAATACCACTGTGAGTTAGGGGGAAAAAGCCCCCAGATGATCTTCATTTTATTGTAATAATAGATTCCTATAGAGTAGCTTTCCCCCCTAAGTCTAGCTGTATCATGGCATGTGTGTGTTGGTATGTGTTCCTGGGGGGAATTAGGAAAGAAAGCCAGGAATGTATATCCAGAATATATACTCCCAGTAGGGTCAATCAAACCATGAAAATAATTCAAGGTGCCCACCTAAAACAACCAGGCACCTGTATTGGCAGCAACAATATAAGACGCAGATAATCACTTTAGTGACAACAACAATAGCATAATTTCATATTGTATGGAAGAAGGCAATGGTTAACCACTCCTGTATTTTACCAAGAAAACTACATGCATAAACAAGTTAAAGTAATT